ATTCTCGTATTTGGAAATGCTAATATTCTACTGTACAATGATTGCAGTTAGTTAGCCTTCCAGTTGAGTAGTCTACCTATGTGACGTATGCGATCATTCAGATCTTAATTCCTCCGTTCAGGTAACCATTTGTTCAAGTTAATTTCCTACATGATACAATCCAACAAAGTTTTCAGTGTACCCCATTACTTACAGCATATTGGCTAAAACTTGTTGTACACTTGTCAGATGTAGTACAGTAAGCTACAGGCAGTATAGGCAATGATCGAGATTTTAATGACTTCATTTAGCTAACAACTTGTCCAGGCTAATTTCCAACAAGATGCAATGTAAGACATTTTCAGTGCACAGCATTGCTGTATGTTAAATTACTTGCAGTGCGACGCAACGCGTTGTACACTTGGCTACTTACTTACATTATTCCATACTGAGTATGTTTGTATAAATAATTGAAAATATAAAAAATTTCGAGCGACACAAACCCAAGTTTACGACCCCTCTCGTCCCTACCCAAATTTTAGATATACATAACAAGGATCGATCATGGTAGTATCTAACTCGTTAACTTAGCTGATCCTGGAAGTTCCTGGAAGTTGGACAATGTTTCAAATGATGTTTGAATCTCACGAATGGATTCTGTTTACTTATATCAGTGTATGCAGTGGAAGGAGGCGAATTGAACGATACCCAGTTTCATTTGTGAAAGCTAAGCAAAATTTATACAATTTACTAGCATAATTTGATGACTTTACAAAGCGGTTTATTATTTTGTAAAATTTGATCCAACTTGAATATTGAACGTATATGCCCGTGTAGATATGATTTGGACGGTTTATATAATTCGGCGGTTTTAAAGGGAATTTTAGGTATTGAAGATTTATTTCGGTGTCGCACTATGGTGTGCCAGATTTGAACTGGAATGATTTGACTTTTGTACGTAAATATTTGATTTGAACGATTGAAGAAAAATTTTACGAATTGTATCGAAGGTTAATATTAATATCTCTCTCTCGCTTTATAGATACATAAAGAAATTAATAGTAAATTCAATTTTAATTTAAAATGAGCTGCAATCGAATAGCAAGAATATTGAAATGCAGAGATTTATCATTTTTCTGGTCATTCTACGCTTTAGTACCACTGAATCTTGCACCAAACTACGGTAAGCGACCAGCTCATTTGGATGATAATCATGGACAGAGTACAGTACTGTATTACTCACTATTGTAGGCATATGATGCAATTAAAATGACCAGCAAATTGGTCGGTCTTTGCATTTTATCCAAGGATACCGAATAGTATCCTACAAGTTCACCGCCATAAGTCTAGAACTCAATCACGGAGTTTACTTCAATATTTCCGATCAGGTTTGGAGTAAGAAAGTGATGTTAAAACACTCATGGCTGCAAGATGCTTTACTGCAGATCGCCGTTGCTAGTGTGCACTCTGTCAAACAGTTTAACTGACACGGATGGGTTACCATTTGAGACGTTTTGGCAAGAAATCTCTACAATAGAGGTAAAATCAATCACTAAAAAGCACGGGAAAATTAGCGCAATTGGTGAAAGGGTACTTCATTAACATCAGGTCAATGGACATGGGCATAATCAAGATGAAACTAGGGACTTTTTAAGTTTTCCACCTCTCTCTTAGAAGTCCCTAATGAAACTATACAGGGTATATCATCTCATATCGTTCTACATAAGACTAAACGGGGAAAATATCGTTCAATGCGAAACTAGACGAGCAAATATCGTTCAATGTGAAGCTAGACGTGGAACTATTAGTTCAATATGAAACTAGATGGGTGCATATCGTCCAATAGAAAACCGTAGGAGGGCCATATCGTTCAATATGAAACTAGGCGAAGGCATATCAATCATTCAATAGAAAATTGTAGGAGGGTAATATCGTTCAATAAGAAACTAGATGAGGGTATATCATTCAATATAAAAGGTAAAACTATATGAGGGCCACGTATCATTTAATATAAAGCTAGATGAGAGTACATCATTCAACGTAAAAGGTAAAACTATATGAGGGCCACATATTATTCACTATAAAACTAGATGAGGGAATATCATTCAACGTAAAACTATATGAGGGCCACATATTATTCAATATAAAGCTAGATGAGGGTATATCATTCAACATAAAACTATATGAGGGCCACATATTATTCAATATAAAGCTAGATGAGGGTATACTATTGATCATTCAACGTAAAACTATATGAGGAGAACATATTATTCAATATAAAGCTAGATGAGGGTATACTATTGATCATTCAACGTAAAACTATATGAGGCCACATATTATTCAATATAAACTAGATGAGGGTATATCATTCAACGTAAAACTATATGAGGGGAACATATTATTCAATATAAAGCTAGATGAGGGTATACCATTGATCATTCAACGTAAAACTATATGAGGGCCACGTATTATTCAATATAAAACTAGATGAGGGTGTTAACAAGGGTATATCATTCAACATAAACGGTGAAACTATATGATCATTCAAAGTAAAACTATATCAGGGCCACATATCATTCAATATATAACTAGACGAGGGCATATCATATGAAATGATACCTATGCCCTCGCATCCTTTCATATTGAATGATATGCCCTCGCATTGTTTCATATTGAATGATATAGCCTGGCATCGTTTCTTATTGAGTGATATGCCATCGTAAAGTTTCAAATTGAATCGTCTAGTTTCTCCTTGAATGATATGGGTAGAATTTGATATTGAATGATATGGCCTCGCATAGTTTCATATTGAGTGATATGCCATCGTATCGTTTCAAATTGAATGGCATGTCCTCGTCTAGTTTCATGTTGATATGCGTATACCCTGGTCTAGTTTCTCCTAGGGTAGAATTTCCTATAGAATAATATAAACCCTGGTGTAGTTTCATGTTGAATGATGTACCCTCGGCTAGTTTCATGTCGGATGATATCATCCTTCCATCTGAAATTAGACGAGGGAAATATCCTTGACTATGAAAGTAGACGATGGCACTGGCACATGATGAACTTTCACGCAATGTAAAATAGAAACCTGCGCGAAAGCTGGTACGGGCTAGCCTTGTCTAGGGCAAAGTACGCACGCGTGCCAATTAGCCAATCAAATTTGTCCACGATCACAGCCATTTCAAAACATCCACCCGGCTTGAGTGCTGTTGACTTGAACCAGTGGATTGGCACTAGCAGCACTCATACTGCCCTTAGCGATAGAGTAATAACTACTCAATCATCTTTCCACTTGTCTAGAAACTGTATCAAAGTAGACTTGCTTTGATTTCTCACACTGGATATTGTCCGTAGCCTGCTTCACTTGGTAACCCACTCCACAATCAGTACTCTACTCTACAGTATATTGCTTGTAGCTACCCTGAATTTCAGTTACAATATCATCACTCGACTAATCGGCTTATATCGAGTCCAGCAAATTTAGCCTGATTGAACCAGCAGCTTTGCTAGGTAGAGGAAATTGCTTGTTCCATGATCGAGTGGTTGGCCTAATTTTTCTTCATATTGATCCATTGGCTGTCATCATTAGTGATCAAAGCGACATCATCACCAATTCTACAGTAGATGAATGCTATTTTACTGATATAGCATATAAAGTGATTGGCGATATCCAGTTGATCAACATCTCTCTTTGAATCGAAGTTAGCTTGGTGCACTTGCTTTGCTGGTTCATTCTGTTGCTCGTAGATTGTGTTGGAAACGATCAGCGATATTCTTCTATTTTATTACTTATTGCTAATAGTGGCTTAGGACCATTTTTGTCCAATATTGCTGTACACAAGTAGAGCCCAATTATTATTACCTGTCTTAGGCGTCGATTCAAATCCAAAATTGACCTTATCTTGATAGATTACTATACGTTGAACTTTCCATTGCACTACGTAATTCATTCAACCATCCGATCATCATGCTCACCCTTCAACAAGTACAAGTTGGCATTCTAATTTCTTGGCTATCGTATAATCTTGCTCATATTGGTGAGTTTTCCTATTCAAAATAGTGTTCTAATTTAGAATGGTGTTGATCATCATGACTTGTTATTAATAGATATTCATTATATCAATCGTCAGCCATGCTCAGGTGGCTGCAATGCACTGCACTAAAGGTCAAATGACAAATACAGAGCTGTCTTCGCTTGTGATACGCACACGATAATCTGTTGATATACTGTACTGCACTACCATATTACCTTCGCTCTATTTTTGATATCAACAAGCAAAATCCAATACTGTAATTCCAATCAATCTTGTATAGTGTAAAAGGGCTCATCCTTTATATATGGTAAGACGATCACCAATACAATCGCATGACGGTGTCAGTCACGATGATGATTCTTTGATGGACTTATTGATACTCCGAAGTGTCTAAATGGTGACGATTAAACATCCTTTTCAATGATTTTGGTATTGAACGTAGAAGAAAAACTAGCTAATGATAGCTATTAAAAGAGACTATCAATAATATGAATGTATGAATGAAAATTATTTACGTATCATCATTGGAAATAGGATCGCTACTGTAAAAGTGTCAACTTGAGTGCTATTATTTCGTGCCAAATACGATACATTGGGGTTAGATTTTAGTGTTAATGATAACTTGCTACAAAATCATTCGCCTTTAGTAGCTGTTATTCAACGCCTTATTGTGTAGGTATGGTGTTACCTAGACAGTTATCAACATGCACCTATGCGACAGAATAGAAAGAATATGACAATAATGGTTGGATTCTAGATACCGTATTAAAAACTGAGATTGTCCTATTTTAATACCTGCTTAAAGGTTTAAAGGTATACTGTACTGTATTTTGTTGGCAAGATCGGATTTCGAGTAACTTACCCTAGGGGTGTGTTTGGTCTTAGCGCATACTCGTATTTGTCATTTTGTTCCATAATTTCAACAGATAGGATAGGCTATAGCTATTGCCTACAGTATATCGGAATTACTTTTCATGATCTTTCATGGTGCATTTCATATTCTGTATGACACCAATACTGTTAATTAACCATGATCGATTATTGTATTATTATGCTTTGATAGGTGTACTGGCTGGTAGCGTCGATAACCATCTTGAATTGGGCAAAAAGTTTCTGGCTACCGGAAAATTGCAAGAAGCGCTAGTACAATATCATGCTGCTGTGGGTAAGATTTCTATAATAATCTTAATCCCCTTTTGTGATAGCTGCTACAAAATAAAATTTTAGAACACTCATGTTAATCGTAAAAATAATTTGATCTAATGGATCGTTCTTACGTGTAAGATGAATGATTAGTGATTAATGCTAAAGCGTTTGCTATAATCACGGGATTGAATAATTTGCTACTTTATGCCTATGTACAGATGGAGATCCCAAGAACTATTTGACATTTTTCAAGAGAGCAATAGTCTATATTGGAATGGAAAAGGGTCAATTGGCGGTGGCTGATTTAGATAGAGCCACAGAAATAAGACCCAATTTTTTACAGGTATGAATAAAGTAGCTACTAAACTATCGTGTTTATAGATTGCTTTGCATTACTAAATTGGTTGGCTTTTAAAATCATTTACAATGAGATATTAGTAAATCGTTGCATGTTCATTATAGGCAAAGTTACAACGAGGTAAGGTTCATATTAAACTAGGCAAACTGGAGAAAGCGCAACATGACTTGGAAGAATCGGTATGTTCCAACAGCGCATGACTATGTTAAGCTTTAAAGGCAATATTGCAACTTTAAGTGCTAGATTATGTCTATAATTTGTAGCTTTGTCGGCAATTTTCTACGAAGAGGGAAGTAAGCGATAATTTGATAGCTATGCCATATTTACAAATTTTAGATACAGGATAGTAGCGTACAAAACGAAGCCCGTCAGCAGGTATGCTATTGAGGACTAAAATTTTGTTAGCCTAATGTTAAATAATAACTTTTTCTTTATTATCGTTTCGTATAAATAGTTGGAAAATATAGAACCGCTAAGGCAGACTATTGCTAATGCAAAACATACTTACGCAAGCGGCGATTATGAAGCAGCTATTCAAATTCTTAATGTGGCAATTGAGGTAACTGAAATCGATAAATTTCTACAGTAGAATGAATTAAAATTTTCTATATTAATGAGCGATTACATATTTTCGGTAAGGATCAGAAAAACATTCTAAGGGCATAACGTCCACCACTGTTCTTGAAGTTTGTTTCGATTATTTTTAAAGTTTTGAAAAATTGCCATAACTTGCTTATTTAATACTAGAGTTGTCCATGGGATCCTGAATTGAGAGAGATGAGAGCTGAATCCCATTTAGCAGTGAATGACAGAATGGCTGCTATAGCTGATGTTAGGTAAATGTACAAGTTCTAGCAAATTTTTTGATGTTAACCACTGTAAGGGTTTTATTATCAAGATATTATTATAATTATTAACTGATACTTGGTAAATACATAATTTGTAGTAAATGTCTTGGTATTAAGAAGTGTATAAGAGTTTTATTATTAAGATATTATTAGCTGACGTTAGGTAAATGTATGAGTTGTAGCAAGTTTTTTTGGTATTAAGAACTATAAGAGTTTATTATCAAGATATTATTTTAAGCCTTATTGATAAGGATATGACATAACTTAAAAGGATATTATAAATATCTGACGGCCATTGTTGCTTTCGTCTACTATTGTATTCTACATTAAAAGGCGAATTACAAGATTAACAAATGACAATACCAATGCTTATTACAAATTAACGAAATTACTTTACGAGAATGGAGATCTGGAAAGTTCTCTTCAGTAAGTACTAAATTATGATATGACGTATTCACAAATTGTACTTTTTTCATCTGTAGAGGCGCTAATTTTTGTTCTAACATTATTTATGCTGGTTGACAGGCAAGTTCGGGAATGCTTAAAGTTAGACCCAGACCACAAAATGTGTTTTCCATTTTACAAGGTAATTAATAAACTATGGAGCTTGATTTTCCTTCGTCATTTTTCGACCCTTATTATTGAATTAGTAAGCTTATAAAGTGTCTCCACATACGCATATTCTGTTTATAGAAAGTTAAAAAATTAAACAAAAAGTTGCAGAGTATTGAGGAGAAGATTAACACGGAAAGGTTGGTTCGTCAAATGACAGATGTTATAGTTGCATTGTTTTTGGATTGCTGTAGTTAACCAAAGACATACTTTTTCAGCTATCAAGATGCAATCCCGAAATTAACAGATATCATGCAAACTGACGTGACGCAAGTTCAACACTATGCAACTATGCTTTCATCCAAACTATGCTTGTGTTATCTTAAAGTTAGTACTGTATTACTTGAAATAAATAGACGTTTATCTTGTCCGTTATATTTTTCGATAGAAATGAGGATAATTTTAACAATTCAACTTATTTTAGGTAAAAGACGTCAACGAAGGCATTGCAGTGTGTACCGATGCCCTTAAGGAAAATGAAAACGATATTGATCTTCTTTGCAACAGAGCTGAACTATATTTGCTAAACGATGAATATGACGAAGGTTGTAGTAACGTATTTGTTAATCGATATAACTTGCAGTGGCTAATCAATATATTACGTGTTGTCCTTTCAGCTATTGCAGATTATCAAAAGGCAAAGTCAATTAACAATGGAAATCAAAGGGTAATTGATGTACTATTATTAAGATATGATTTACCATCAATAGTGAATATCGATAATTTACAATTTCATTGCTAAGGGTTATTCTATAAACTTTGTTAAAAGGTAGCTTTGCCGATTTATCTTTTATTATCTTAAACATTAAGGCAAACGAAGGCTTGAATAGGGCTAATAGGCTATTAAAGCAATCTCAAAGGAGAGATTATTATAAAATTTTAGACGTTAAAAAGTGAGAACTATTTGAAAGTTTACATTGGTCGATTATTATTGTAATATAGTAAGATATTGATATCACTATTTATTAGAACTGCAACGAAACGTGAAATTTTAAAGGCTTATAGAAAATTAGCTGTCAAATGGCATCCTGATAACTACAAAGGTGAAGATAAAAAAAAAGCGGAAAAGATGTTTATCGACATTGCGGCTGCTAAGGAAGTGTTATCCGATGCTGGTAAAGTTATATTGAATTAATATGATAACTTGGTATCGTATAAAATTATTAATGATCAATAGAACTAATACTTAATATTTTCTAACTAGAAAAAAAGCAAAAATTCGATAATGGTGAGGATCCCTTAAGCCCTGAAGGTCAACAACCTGATTTTCATAATCAAGGATTCCATTTCCAAGGAGGTGGCTTCCCCTTTGGCGGAGGAGATGGTTTTCATAATTTTAAGTTTCATTTTGGCGACAGAGTTTAGTGACACCTATCGACAATTACCGATTTATTCTATTAGCTGTTAAAATATTTACTAGAATTGGATTGTATTTTGATACATTATCGGTCTTTTGACATGTAATGACATTTTACGATTGGCATCTCTACGTGTACACATATTAGAAGTCAATTATTGAAAATTTTCTGCCCATTTCCAATAATTACTCAGGATCGGAAAATCTTGGCAATTGACTTCAAAAATATCAGTATGTCAAAAATGTATACAATTTTTCAAACAGAAATGATCTTTGTCAATTATAATACTACTAAGTTTTAACTGTACTTAATAATTACAAGAGAAGAAAATATTTGGATGAAGTATTTGTTATGAATGAATTATTGTAGTAGCGCCGATATAAATTAACCCCGTGATGGATTATGCTATCTTGGACGAGTATTGTTACAAAATTACAAAATTTACTGTATTTAGCTGACTGTAACCATAACCATGACATTCTACTAATTGAAACATGACATTGTTGATTCTGGATTATGCAAATCGGTTCAGTATTGTCGTATACATCATTTTATATACCTCTTGTATGATTATTGTATTTTATGTTTCATCGCGGATCAGAACAAAAGTCAATAAATAAATACGAATTATTGCGTGTTGCTATTAATATTCTCTAGTTTACTATTTAATAGATCGTTGTACTCTTAATTAGCATGGTTAGCTATCGTAGCTTCTATTATTTGGTAATGTTGATTAGAGTAAATGATTGAGGGAACAGCTCATTTCGATTCAAGAGAACTGTGCAGTGAAGGATATTGGTGGTACTAATAATTGTGTAGGGCATTACTCGTAATTGATATTCTATTTTGATCAAATTGCTTCTATTCTTTTGGATTTGCCAGAGACTATTGCTAAGGCAAAGTTCGTCAAGTTTTTATTGATTTTTAGTATTTTGATGAGATTACTTTTATCCTTTGGGTTTACATTAGCTTTTCCCAGTAAAGTTGGTCAATTTTTATTAATTTTTAGTATTTGATGAGATTACTTTTATTTTTGGGGTTTCTATCAATCAAATCTACCCAGTAAAGTTGGTCAATTTTCATTAATTTTTAGTATTTGATGAGATTACTTTTATTTTTGTGGTTTCTATCAATCAAATTTTCCCAGTAAAGTAGGTAGATTTTGCTCTGTTTCTTTTTTTTGCAATCTTTGACAAGGGAGGAATCCCATATTGCTATTGAATCATTTTAGCAGTAGCAGCGCTAACATACGCATAGTATTCTATTTTAGTTTACGCTATTATTATTTTAGTCAGATTACTTCCGCTCGTTGGGTTTACCTCCGATTAATTAAGTTTTTTTCATCAAATATCTTTGCTTCAGACGAAATCACTTTGGTAGAATCTATTAATAACGCTGTCTTGAAACTCTCTATATGCAAGGAATATGTTGTAGAGTTATGGACTTTTTATAAGATTTCCTTGACGATAGTTGATTTGATTATCCTATACCCTGTATAACTGTGCATTTACTGTTAAAAAGGGGGAAAATAAGTATTGTTATAACATGAGAACATGGTCAGATCATTGCTTTATTAAAGAATGGGTAAGCAAGTTTGAGATTGCATTATATTATCATCTAATCATGGACTTAATGGACGATAGTTTACATTTGTACGAGTGTGCATTTATTGCGGCTAAACTGGGTTGCAACGTGAGTATAGGGTTAAAACATCTTTTGTTGAAAGAATACAGTAGGTGACAAAGTTGAAGGCATCTTCCATAATGCAGATTTGAATAACTAGCTATGGTTAAATAATAGTCATGTTTCACTCAAGACAACAATACTGCTGTTTATATTCGCTAGACTAGTTTCTACAAGATTGTTGTCATGGAATAACGGCAATGTCCAGTTCCGTTTAATCGCTACAATACTGTAGACTCTCCATGGAGTGTACAATGGACGTAAATTACATTATTGTTGTTATGATTCTGATAGCATGCTTGACTGGAGAACAATTGTAATGACGACATGATTGAATTTCTGCCATTAAGATTTGAAAAGCGTCATTAGTGGATTTAATTGATTACATATTTTATCATATGTAATTAGTACAACACACGAATACAGCATTATGCAATTTTGAATTTTGATTGAAAGTAGAACAAGAGAAAGAGATGGAAAGATCGAATGACGCAAATGCTGCGATGAGTTCATCCAAATTGATGTTGCAATATGGGGCTGGAATGTTTGATTGATAGTTGAATATGATCTCAATCTGTATTGTATCCAAAACTGCTGGAAAAGCGTCTCCTTGGAGTAGCCTATGCTTCAACTCACTACCATAGCATGCAATCAGATATTGAAAGTTGTAGACCCGTCATAGGGACTTGCATGGCATTATGCAATATTTTGACCATCATTGAATTGTCATCCTCTCTATTCCATGCGCGATTGCAGTAAGTGCCACTCAATCCAGTACAGTATGTCGGCAGGATCGTTTCCTACCGTACGTTCGCTTGAAAAGATTACTTCAAAGCTTATTATCAGCTACTCGATTAGGCAAGTGCCAGGGTCGATAGTCAAAGAAAGAAGAGTATGGATACGGCCTGCTCGATCTATTGGCGTAATTTAGGGTACTGGAAATTGAAATGGACTTTTTTAGAATAAGTCAAGTAGTTCATGATCGACTGACTCGACCCTACTCATGAAATGAGTTTGCAATGCATGGTCCCATTTGAAAATACTGTACAGGCAGCAGTTTGAGCTTGGCTTAGCGAGCGTATACTGATAGCAGAACTTTGAATCGGCTGCAAATTGGAGAGAGATTTCGACAGTGCAATCCATGATGGAAATGGAATCGTTGTTTATTAGGATAGAAAAAGAAAGTTTACAGTGATTCGTTGTTATCAGCTGTTTACTCAAATGACATCCAGCGAATGACGCCTGTTGGATATGGTCAGACACCGCACGACACCTGCAACGTCTTTCACTACGCTTGATAGACACACTACAGTATAGAACGTACTATGAGTAGACACACTCCATCCAGTAGTGTCATGTATTGTGGTTGCACAGACGAGTGTGAACCGTGTCGGGTCAACCCCAGAAAAGGCTGACTGTTGTTGTGTACAAAATGCCTGGCCATTTTGGCGGGTAAAATGTATTTGTTTACCCATTGATGGATGAAAGGAACACGCAACAGTAAACAAAGACTTGATCGGACTCTTCCTTTGTTGACGAGAATACAGTACTGAATGCCGGATAAGCTTGTCCGGCTACGTCTCCATAGGTACAGTATTCATGGAGAACAATATAGCCACTCCATTCAGTACTGTAGTCAGTATCATCTCCATGTTGCACCACACAATAGTATGGAGTTTTGATTCAACGATTAGTCATTTTGCACATTGGTGCTGTCATCTTTTGCGTGTGTTTTGTATTTGGAGAGAAAACGATCACTTTACGGGGGGCGCTTTATAGCGTCGATCGAAAGAGGTGTACAGTGTACAGTACAGTACAGTACAGTACAGTGCAGGAAAGGCCGTTGAAATTCTATGCTCTATGAAGGCGAGAATTTTCAATTTGAATAGCTTTTAGTATGGAGAATAGAGAAGGGATCAGACAGTATCGTGGTAAGCTACAGTACAGTACTGTAAGTAGAGTTTACAGTAGTCCAGCACTACAGTACATTACAATACAGTACTAAAATGATAGGAAACCACTGTACACTGTACAGTACCGCAGCCGTCTCTCCACTACAGTACTTTTCTCTTGGACTGTGGCGCGTGGACTGTACGCCATAGTGGATAGTCTCCACAATCTACAGTACGCAGTTGAAAATGGACGGAAAAACATGGACTGTACTGTAGCGTCCAGTCGGTCCAGTACAATACACCTCTCGACAGTGAACGTACAGTATAGGACAAGGCAAGCTCCTGTCGGACTACGGATTCTTCGCCCCCTTTCAAATTCAACTTCCACTGCGTAGCTAGAGCAATCCTGCTTGAATCGGTAAGCAAGAAAAATCCATATCAAGGCGAAAATGGTAGCAACTAGCCAATAACGAGTGGAGTATTGAAGCGACCAATTGGAGTTATTGCTTACCCGTTGGTCAGGCTATCTGTACATCAAGTGTATACCAATATTGGTGGGGTGATATTGATAGGATTAACCATTGAAAAAGTCAAGATTGTAGCGGCGTGAACGACCCGTCGATCCAGCCTCTATCGCAAGGTAACAAGCTTACCTTGGACTGTCCTCTACTGTATTAATTAGAGAGGAAATCACGGTGTTTAGCGAGTTGTCTTAGCGACTTGATCGGCCTTACCATCACAGTAGTATTATCAACAAGGTGGCGAATTCTGAACAAAGCGCTATTTTGGCTTCCAAGATTGTGTAAGTTGCAATAATACTCGGATAGAAATTGTTCAACTGTATGGACGTGCTAGGCTTAGCTGCTAATCGCAATGCCTACAGTTATTCTCGGTGTGTGACTTTTTTACCAAACATGATACCATCGTCAAGGACGTGCACAATGATGCAAAAATGGTGTGCTTTGAACCATTTCCAATCGTCTAGTGGTACACACATTCTCTGAAGTAAAGTCCACGTTGACTATCATCAATCATGATGATGGATATCTTTTGAGTACTGTGTCCTGTCCATGATGGGGCGGACGATCACTATTCATTCTTGTCAAACCATCGACCTACAGTAATAGGCAGTAGTGTGGATGATACGGTAACAACGAGGAAGTTGGAGTACTGAACAACGGTGTTCGTGGCGTGCTGTCCATACATTTGCTAATACATGATATGTTTTACATGATATATATTGAATTTCCTCCCAAAAAGATTTGCAGTTTTATACATTTACACACTAGGCGGTGCTAGTATGGCTAGTGACTGTTGATCGATGGTGTGCTGTACTTGTTAGTAAAGTTAATGTTAGCCACTGTACACGGGTTGGAATGGCCGGACAGTAGTTTTCAATCTTGCCTTTATTTCACTTTCTTGGCGTCATGCT